TTACGTCGTTAGCAGGTTTATGCTGGGAGCCATAATTACCGAGCCTCAGTCCTGACCCACCTCAGAAGTGCTGGGTGTACTATAATTTATTTATTTATTTTGCACTTAGCCATATCCGCGGTGGTTCTGCCAGCCCACGCCACCCCCACCCTCCATACCGCTCCTGTTTCCTGTGTCCTAAAACCACTTGACACCTTTTTAGACTCGTTGCTGTCAGCTGGCAGACTCTGCAGGTTTCAGCCAGGGCACAAAGCTGCGATCCCACATATCGATGGCAGATAAATCAATGCTATCTCTTTTTTCCATGCCTCTGCCACCATCGATTTCTCTTGTTACCTCGCCGTTAGCGCAGCTCCTAAACTTTGCACAGCCGAAGCTCTTTCAGGTTCGCAGGAGGCACAAATTGAAACGGGGGTGCGTGAGGTAGGCTTGAGACAGAAAATTTACAATAAAACTCCTGAAGGATGTAACCTCAGAACAAAAGAAGCCCTGGGTAAAACCATGCCAGCTCACTGAGGCAGTTCAAAATGGAGACTTAGCCGTCTAAGTCATCTGAATATGGATGAAGTTCAATGTATCACTTTGCATGTATTTGGTAGAGTATCCCCAGCGGAACTAGCAAAACATTCCAGAAATAATGAAGGAGAGTTGAGAGAAAATCTTTGGCTTTAACTTCAAGCTCACAGAATCTTTTTTCCCCCCCAAGATTCACCATTTTCTAGTCAGTTGGTTGCTTTCAGGTCAGCTGGGTTCACTTTACCCATCTGGGTGTCTGTCACTAAGACTTGGCTTTTGACTCTGGTTTTATTATACTGCACTGAAAAAAAAGCCAAGCAGACACAACACACATGCAAACACACATAGCTCCTCTAACCCCCACGCTCCTGTCTGACATACAGAGGTAACAGAGCAGCGCACATGTAATTGAATTAACCTCCTTTTGTTGGCTAGCTATACCCAAGGAGCAGCTGGCCACATTCAGCAGTAGAAAGCCTGAAAACATACAGACAGTCCCACTGCACTGCCAGGCTCATAAGCCCCGCCCCCACTGCATGACCCCACCTCCATTTAATTGCCCCACCCCCCATGTTATCCTCAGAGCTGCTATCAGGAAATGAGGCAGGTCTGGACCAGATGTGAATATCGAAAACAGTCGTCACCTAATTAATTTGTGAAGAAAAGGTCAAACTTTAATATTATGCCTTTTTCCTTGACATATTTATCCCTGTTTTAAAAATGTACCATGAGATTCTGGGACACTTTAGCCCTGGTGGTAGTTGTACTTTTTGCAAAGTTTTCTGTGATTTTAACCTTGGAACTATTCAGAGGTCTAAAATGGTGTGGCTTCACTTCGGGACATGACGATAAATCTTATAATACCCCAAATTTCATTATGATGCACTATGACACTTTGAGGATTTCATACCAAATTTTTCAGCCAGTTGACTATAATATGAAAGATCTCGCATTCAGATGTCCAACAGAATAAAGAAATAATAACATCTAGCCTTGTTCCAAAAACAGAGGTGGAAATTCCAGGCCCAGAAAGTAAAAATCCAGTCCAAGATTTTGTTTCAACCAACCATTTCAGCATTAAGAGTCACAGACACAGAGTACTCAGCTGCTTGGTCTTATATGGTTTATTGCCTCACCCTTTTATGAGGGTGACACAATAAACGTATACCCTGGAAGATCCAAGTGGATGTTTGTTGGCTCTGATGATTCACATCATTAAATGTAAACAAAAGGGTTGAATGAGTTACTAAAATGAATATAGTAAGTTTATTTTTTTAGGGTTAATAGGGTTTTAGGATTAATTGTTTTTTGTTTTCGTTATTTCGTACATTTCTTGGCATGAAGTTCATTAAAGGTGTTTTGCATTTACCGTGTACAGTAGCGTATGTTCAGCAGGTTCGAAGCCTGTCCCTGTGCCGAGAAGGTTGCCAATTCAAAGCACATGCCTGGCAGGGTCATATCACTGGGCATTTCTAGAGGTGCCAAAAAAGCGGCTGAGCCCGCGCTCTGACCCAAAGCTGTGCTTTCATCTGTATCTGTGTGCCTCTCATAGAAGCGCAAGATGGGATATGTGAAGTCGGAATTTCATGGTACTTGCTATCCGCACAACATCTATGTGACAGCAAGCAGTGGCCGTGGCGACCGTAGACTGAAACCTGGCCTCCCCATTGGCCACCCCCGGCGTATTTGCATTTTTGTAGTTAAAGCAGACTTTGATTAAATTATTTTTATTATGTAACTATGTCTGTATCCCTGATGATATACTCATAGAATGAAGTCATAGTGTGACTGAGCTAAACATGTGCTCTCAGAACAGGAGTTGCAGAAGTTTTGGAATCTTGCATTTAGTTTAAGCTTCTTATCATAGCTGCAAGAAATTGATATATTAAATGCTTATTTAATAATTCCACCACTGCCTGAATTATAAACAATGTAGAGTTATAGTTTTAATTACCTTAAATACTCCTTTATTTTCTATATGCCTTATATTCGTATTTGGATTTATGTGTCTGTCACGGATCCGGGCGGCTCGGGTGCGGGGATGTGGCATCGGGCACAAAAAGGGTGGACGACCCACTTGCGGCTCAGAGACAGATGGGGATTTATTTAAACAAAATAGAAAACACTAGAAACACAACAAAACCAAAAGGACCACGAGGGGTGGAAAACTAAAAAGGGATTAACAAAGACTAAATAACAAAAACTGGGCAACTAAGCAAAACACACCACACAAACATCTCAATACTAACCAAATACGATCAATACAAACCAACAACAACAAACCACTAGAGAACAGAACAGAAACAGGGACTTAAATACAGAAACCAAAACTGGGTAATAAGACTAACACAGGACAGGTGAGACTAATTAACAGAGACCAGGAAAACAGGGCACAGGTGAAACTAATAAACTCAAAGGAGCAACACAGGGAAACTAAGACCTAACCAAGGATACAGGGAAACAGAAACCAACACTAGGGAATTAAACAGGTAAAGACACAAGCAGGGGCACAAGGAACAAACCAAAACCAACTACAAAATCAGACACAAGAACTAAAGAAACTCAAATGAAACACAAGGGATCAAAATACAAAAACAGAGGAGGCAGGATTCAAACACAGGACAGAAGGTACACAGACAACCACATGCTCAACACATTGAGCCACATGACCAGACAGGTAACAGAGGAGAACAAAGACTAACATAAAGAACGGGATGACCAGCAATGCCTGCTGGCCAAACTGGGAAGGGACACGGTAGGACCACAGGGGCTGACCCTGACAGTGTCACCCCAAAATAACCTCTGGTCCCCTTCTTTCCACTCCAATGCTACACAACAGAGGCATATTCTATTATAATTTTGAATAATAATGATTATCCAGATTAGGAGGGAGTTTTTAACTTTCTTAAAAGATTGTTAAAGCTAAAAATTGGCCTACATATTTCTACTGTGCCTTTAAAGCATTCTGTTGTTTAGAGGAAGGTTAAAAGGACAGCAGCAAATGATTTCTGACATAATTTACACACCTTCAAATTTCCCAGATCCAGCCGTGCAGTTCCAGTTTTACTAAACAAACTCAGTCAGAATAGATCATTGTGTTTATGGCTGGGCCTAAATTCAAGGCTGAGATTTGACTGGAGGATAAAAAATACGACCAAATAAGTATTCAAAGCGTGGCTTTATTCAAATGTACTTAATACGTATGCTTTGTGGAGGCAGTCAGCGGTTTGTTGGTGCATTTTCAGTGAAATTCATGAAAAGGAGGTTGAAAGGGCTCTTTAACAAGAACAAGATGGAACGATAAGAGACTGGGAGCCTCTTCTGAATACGGACTCCGCTTCCTTTGACTGCATTTTTTAGCTGGTGCACCTGTTGGAAACCAGACCTCACCTGTGTGATATACGCAGCGAATAATTAGCAGGTTGGAACCGGGCCATTCTCACAGAGGGAGTGCAGGTGTGCTTATTCCGCGGTGCTGCAAAGGACTCACATGCCTTATAATAATACGTCTCTTCTGTTTGACTGCAGAACATGTTGCTAACATGTTCTCTAGAACTTGGCAAATGAATACCGCTTTTAATTAAAGCTTACATACTGTAGCACTGGGTGGCATCTTATATTGCCTTTGATTACAATACATCGACATAAGCTATACAACTGGCATGAAAAATGGTTCTGCTTACGTTTCTGAGCTTTGGGCTTCTTCCATTTATTTCATATTGTATTTTTGTACACCCGCTGTGTTCCAATTACTCGGAAATAAGGAAATACGGGAACTACTTTGTCTTCTGAATACATAAGTGTAAGTTGCGGTGATAATCACAATTTTATTTCAGATATTTTGCCCTGTGCTTGCCTAAGCAAACAACTAAGGTTTTTATAGCGCTGTTTTTATTAAATTATTCTACTCGTATGCTTCAGCGAAAATAGAGATTTAATGTTTTATATATGCATCAGAACAAAATAACGTAGTCCTACATTCTGTTGAGCAGCATTTTGAAAAGTGATAATTAAAATTCACAGTAAGAACTTAACTGAATAATTTGTTTTTAAATGTGTAAGAATTAAATATTCTTTTGAATATCCGTTTAATCACACATCGTATTTTCCTTCCAAATGTTCTTTAAATATAGATTCAAACAATATGATGATACACCCAGAGCTGATGACAAAGTAGGTCAAGCAATATGAAAGTGACTGCAAAAAATATAAAAGATGTACTTTTTCCAAACATGAAAAGGGTCAACGGTATAAAACCGAATGCTTTGCGGTTTCTGACTCCTTTAAATATTTCCGCTCGCGAACAACGTGGTCTCGAACTTGTCGCCTAGACGCCGACGGCGTCACCGTGGTAACTGCCTTTTGGCGGCTATGATTGGTCGACCTGTGGGAACGTTTTGGTCCCCCCCCTGTGTAATGATTGGCTGGTGGGCGGTCCGTGGAGCCGTGAGAATCTGCAGCGTTCCGGGTTATTGTCAGTTTCGGCAGGTTGGTGCAGGGGCAAGGAGGAGAGTATACATACTAGTAAGCTGCGCGCAATAGCCAAACAATTCATTTCGCACGATCTCCAAGCGCAGACTGTTTACACTATATAAAGGAGAATTGCGCACGGACGTATTCAGTCGGATTTGGAATTCCGGAGCAAGATTTTTTTCAACAGAGATTATTTTTTTATCAAGAGGAAAATCAAGGTTTCCGAGCAAGTGATGAAGGACCAGTCGTGGAGTGGCAGTTCAGACAAACAGGGCTTTATTATCAAGAAAACATACTGCTCATTACGCCCCGCTAGTTGCGTTTGATCAAAAGGATTTGGCCTTAAATGCTGTTCGGTTGCCTGCAGCTTTTTCTTCTTAAACAAATGTACCTAAATTTGCTATCTTGACTGCGAAAACTGCACACAGCAGGTGGAATCCAATTTAATTATATAGCACTTAGTCGTGTGTATCAATCATCGGCTGGGGTGAAGAAGATATATTTGCTATTGAGTATATATTTTCAAACTTCTTGCTTATACCAACTTGTATTTCAGACCATCTCCGAGGAGAAAAACCCGACATATACAAAAGGGCATTGGACCATAGAACTGGATATTTTCAATACTTTGCGTTAGCCGAGACAGCTAATCGGAACGATTAACGCATCGCCTTCCTGGAATTGCTGATCTAGGGCTTTTCCTTTCCTGTTTATTTTTTTATTCAGATCATAAGGTTAATCCGCCTGGATTCGTATATAGGGGGAAAAGCAAGTCTTAATTTGGATATCGTGTTTACCCCCAAAGATATTTTGATTATCTATTTGGAAAAGGAAGACAAACGTGTCAGTTATAGCTCTAAGGGAGTGATACAGTAATAACAAAAGGTTTAGGATTATTGCTTAATTGTGGAGTACGGGATGCAACCTTTGCTTTTTTTTGGGACCTCAACATTTTGAAGCGGACCTGCCGACGCAACAACCTGCATGGGATTTTAGCCTGCACCTCCAAGCGATATATGGTAAATATGAGTCCACTTTTTCTACATCTCACCTTTTTTCCTGGCCAAGGGAGCGGACTTGCCCGTCTGCCATTTCAGCCGAAAGTGCGCGTCAGCTTCGAGCCGGCGGACGCTCCGCTGCGGGAAGCGGCTTGTGAGCGCACGCACGCCCGGGGACGGAGCGCATAAACGCACCGGCTGCTCCCCCCCCACCCCCGCTGTCACATTCCTCATTTTTAATGACCTGCGTCTTATATGGCCGGTGGGAGCCAGGCGGCGAGGCGAGGGGGGCTTTGCGACCGACCCTTTCAGCGGAACTTCTGATCGTTTTCGGGGTGGGGGGGCTGGTGTGCAGTCCTGGCAATAAAGGAAGTGTTGTAAAAAAAGCAAGGTGTCAGAACGTGAATGCTAATGGGGAGCCGCTTTGAAGTGGAATAGTCACCCTTTACAGCCGCCTCTGGATCCCCTACAATTACCTCTATTGCCGGGATCTATGGGTGCATTTCACCCCGGGGACAGAGGCTAGCCAATATTTGTCTGCTGTGAAGCCTCTTAAGTTAAAGTGTGAAATTCTCCTCTTCATGCCCCCATTGTGCCAGATTGTATTCAGCTGGACGGGGGCAAGAATTGCTGTTTACCCCAAAACTGACCGCTCCCGGACTCCTAGCTGTAAGTTGTTTCAGTAAATGACAGATCCGACGAAACACAATCAAAAACAACGAATATATTAGCTGAGCGGCATCTCACGACACAAGCCGGTGTTCAGGGGGAGAAAATATATTATTTGGATGTATTAACATCCAATATGATGTGCCCTCCGGCTGTATACGCAAATTGGTGCATTTTCCAAGAACAGAGGGCTGTTTGTTCATCGCAACGATCTGATCTAATCTTTAAACACACTTGAAAGTAGTCTGGTTAAAGGATACCCGGAGCCACATGTCTGTGGTTTTAGTTAACTACGAACACGAGTCCACTGGGGGTAGGAGAGAGGAAAAAACTTTCGTTTATGAAGAATAACTGAAAGTAGGCTATTTTGTCGCTTTGTAAGTTCATGTTTTTGCCGTTCAGATTATTCGTTAAAGTATGTTTTTGTTTATAATCAAAATTTGTTGCACCCCTTCTCATCCTCATTAAGTTTTCTTTTTTTAGCTTTGCATAAGATTTAAGAGCAGTTTTGCTGTGTAAAAGATTCGCTTTAAAATATGCGTATAATCAAATTTGGATAATGTAACACGGAGTTATGTCTCAAGTGGGCCTGCAACTTGTGACCGTATTTAAATAAAAAATATATAAAATATTTTCCCATTTTCCCTCTTTATTCGAAATAGCACGTTTTACCTTTTATTTAAGTAGTCTAACTGTTTTGCTCTATCTGAATTTTAGTTTTCTCGGTGTGAGAAATAGCCGTCAGGAGTTTGTGAACTACTATTTTCTCAGTCATAGCAATGCAAATATTAGCCTATACTACCCAAAAGCATATATTGACTAAAACCCCAATGTATCACAACCGTCATCTCTGTAAAACCATAGACAGTTCTCTCTTTACCATTGACGTCTTACCTTATGTCAAAATTAATTAAATATGAGGCCAACTGGAATGGAAATAAATTTTGTATTCTTGTTTCGCCGTGCAATTTTTGTTCTTTGTTTTATGATTGAAATAGATCTGTTGCTTGTCTTTCGTTCATTAAGTTTTCAGGAAATGTAATGCCGTTGCCTTTTAAATTCAATCCATCCATTCATCTAATCGCGTATCCCGGACGTGGTCACAGAGGACTTTAAAATTATTACGTTCGTGGTTTAATATTAGATGGGTTTTTGCAATTAATTTCTCATGCAAGAGTATATATGACCGGGGGAAAACTTCAATCGACTTTTATTGTAATAACATGGGTTATTTTAGGTTATTAAAGAGGTGACAGCTATGAAAATAGATTTTCCCCTAAAACGAAGTTAATACTCGATGAAGATGCGACATGCTGCCGACGTTGGTGTACCGGTTTTGTGACCGTGCCACGTTGCTGCTGCGGTGATAGCGTCATTTGACATAGCCTTGCTCCGGGACCAGGGGGGCGCGGCGCTGCGCCGGCGCCCCAGGGCGCGCCACGTTCGGTGCTGACACCGGAGTTTGCCGGGTCTTATGCGGGGAAGCGTTTTAGCGCCTGCGGTATCTAGTCAAAGCACCTGCCGCACTCATGCTGCTTTCTACCGCTGAATAAAACAGGTACTTAATGCATCGTCACATGCCACAGCTTGTCCTGCGGGTATTTGGGTTGGGGGGAGTGTCAAAATGTCATCTTTATGCCCTCGCTTTGCATCATTTATCTGATGAGCAAATGCGGCCCGTGTAGCCTAATTTCTGCGGTGGCTGATCTCCTACGCCAATTTTTGGTGTTGATATTTCCAAGCTCGTATTTATTGCCCAGGAGAGCTTAATTTGTCAAGGGATGAATTTTCCCTTGTCTTTTCTATACTAAATTTCCCAGACAGGTAAACTAACTTTGTGGTCTTGTGGAGTTTTAATTCCCTACTTAATATTTTTATTAATTTTTTTATTTGAAGTGTCTTTTATAAGCCTTAGCTCTTATTAATCTCTGGCAGGCAAAAACTATTTTGAAAAGTTCTGTGCTTTAGGGAACTGCCTTTGTATTAAATGATAGATTTGAGCATTTTAATTTGTGTATTCGTACATTTTACTTGTTTGTCAAAAACAATAACTGATATTTCGACTGGCATCGAAAAGTGTTATGTGCTGAACAGCAAAGACGTTCATGAATATCCTAAGCATAACACTGTTTTAATTTCCTGTTCTGTCTGTTTATTTTTATTTTCATTATTATTGGTTTTATTTTGGCTTTTTTTTTTATGGCAAGCCATCTCAAACAAGCAGTGGTGTTTTCCGGAAATCCAATGGATCAGTTTGGCTTTTCTGTGTCTGGTGAACAGCTTAGCCGGTCCCTAAATGACCCCCCAGTTCAAACCACTGTTCTACCTCCCTCCTTAACCCCTCCGCTCCCCTTTGATGGTTCCCCAAACAGCTCCATCTGCATGACAGGCCTCCTCAGGCTTTACTGCCAACCTGTAGCTCTGAACCTCACTGCTGGACCTGTATCTCTGCTGATATCTGTGACTCCTTTCGAAAGCAGTGTTTGTTCTTGTGGTTCCACGTCCTTGAACTTAAGCACCCACAATCTGTTCTAGCGATGTTTTTGTGAACAAACAGGGAGCAGGACCTAACGTCTCGCATGTGTTCCTGGCGTTAATCCACTGGTCAATAAGGAATTTGGATACTGTTCGAAACGTATGGTGTGTTTGCTTGCTAATATGGCCTGTGTTCTGTAAGCCTAACGAAGCAAAATCCTGAAAATAAGAATTCCTGACGAAAGTAGCGCAATTGGCAAACCAATGACTTGCTGTTTTAGTGGCCTTACATTACACTGAAGCAGGGTGTCGCTCAGCAAAATTGTTTTATTGGCGTTATGGTGCTATTTACAAGTTATGAGGTCCATAAAAACTGCACGTGGTTTGTGCTCCAGAAGAGGAACTTTGGAATGCTTTGATTCCTAAGGGTCTGAATTGTTGTGTTCATCTGCAGCTTTTCAAATTTCATCTTATAAGCTGACAGGGACGGGATGATGATTTTGCTGAGATGGTGTGATGGGTTACAGTTTAATCCAGCCTTTTGTGATTACAGATATAAAAATGTAAAGCTGCAGTGCATATCAGACATACAGTGAATATAATAGTTCATTGTGATTATTAGATGCCGTTAGTATTATTTATTTAATTTATATTCATTAGTATACAAACCTAAACAGGTTACACTTGATTTGAAGCTTAGTTTGAGGTTTGTTTATCTTTATTCTCGTAATAACACGAGGAATGCTTTATAAACTCCTTCTGTGGTATGCCACTTTAAAGCTTCAATTCCTTTTTTTTGTGTAGGAAAATGTTTTTCTAAGATTTTGCCTGCCTGTGTCCAGCTGAACCCCTTAATTCATCTGGATTCACAATATGAATAGGGATAAAAGCCGGTGAAATTGACGTTTTTTGTCTTAAGTCCTGGGAGCAAGTTTCACTTCAGATAACTGTTTTATTATGGGGCTGCCTGCTGTGAGAACATTTCTGTGGAGTGATTCGAGGGCTGGTCTGCAGGGCAGTTTCGATGTGTGCTGGGCGATGTGGCAGAAATGAGACAGGGGGCGCTGGTCTGCCCATCGTGCCCTGGGGCCTCGGGCGAGCTTTGGGTTGGTGCCCTGCTGTTCCCCATGGTGGCCGCTGAGGCCTGTCCGGAGTACATCCTCAGGCTCCGTGCAGATTTACCACAGAGCACTCAGGTGTTCACCTCCGACGCCCTATAATGCCTTCACCGTGATGTTTGTGTCTAGCCAATTATGGTCCAATGACGTGGTATCGCCATCAGCTTTTGGAATGTTTTTGTGCACAAGAAAGGTTGACAATGTTTTGGTTTTCTTTTGTTCCACAGTTGGGGTTAAATTTCACCTTCTGGATTTCATTGGAGGTCAGGGTTAGGTACATAATTGTGGATCTCTGTCTCCGGGATTACATGTCATTGTTATTTTGGTGATATTGTGAAAGGATGTAAACGTAATGATTCTCAGGGTCCAACAAAGAGTAACAGTTTAAAATATTATCATTTGTAGTTTCATGTGCACTTTTTATATGATAACTTACGTAACAGAGCATTACTTAAGTAATTTTCTGTTTCCCCATTAACTGCATGAAAATTTCCTCTAAATCACCCAAAACAGTTCTGCAGCAAACTTGTTTGTAGAGAAGCTTTGTCCTGATTAAAGTTTGGTATTTATGAAATGTCAGCCTCAAACGGGGCCTGACCCAGGTAAATTTATACACTCATCTGTTTTAGTGTTATGTCACACTAAACTGGCCTCTTTTGAGAGTGATTGACTTCCTTGCCACAGACAAAAAAAATGGTCTTAAAGTCAAAGAAAAAAAGTGATATTTAATGAGTGCTGTCGCTTTGCCAATTTCCGTTC